TATGTGGTGCTGAGAATCGAACCCAGGGCCTCGCATGTGCTAGGCAAGCGCTCTACCACTGAGCCACAACCTCAGCTCCACGCTATAAATTCTTTATATTTTTATATATTAGATGTTTGAATGATTTATTTTAGAAGCAAATACTCTATCTATATAGCTGAGTACTAGCCCRGTTGTTTTTATATAAAAGTAGTGAGCAATAACTTGTTAGGAAGAATTTCCAGAAAGATGATGGTAAATGAAGTAATCAGGCTAAAAAAAATTTCCCCTAACTAAAAAAAGGCTATTACTGATTGAATATACTACTTTGACAGAATGCACATTAYTATGCTTGTCCATAATTTATTTATAAGCATATTATGTTCATGTTTGATGGTTTTATTTTCCAAACAGAGGGAAAGATGGCTTTCAATTCAATGCCAGAAATTATCTAAGGGAAAAAGAATTTTAAAAATTTGCTGAAATAGTTGATGTTTTCCCAAATGTTTTTCACACTTTCTTGGCAAGTGAATTTCTGAGGCCAATTGTTGACTTCTGCTCTTCACAGAATAGATTCTAGTAATATAAGGAACCTGTTTATTTGAAAGTAGATAATCAGAAAGCTCATATAAACAGTATGTCCCCCCCCCACCCCTGACACTCAGCATTTGTCAAAAGCAAATGAATGAGAAAATAAATTAATTACATGGATCTTTATTCCCTCCCTCCCTTCTTCTTTCATTTAAGTTGGGAAAATGATTAGTAGAGATTTGTGTAGTCTATCATGTCTTCTGCAGTAGAGATTGAAATTATTGCAAAATCTGGAAGTGCTTCCATTAGATTTATTCCTTCTCCCACACCCCCCTCTCTCTGTTTCTCTCTCCTTTCCCTCTTCCTCTACTTTTCCTTTTGGTATCCCATTCCTCCTATTTTAGCTGTTTTGRACACTCTCTTTCCTGACCCACCCAAGTTTCTGTTTCTTCATACATGTTTCTCGCTCTTCTAGAAGCATTCTTTTCTCCTTTTCCCTCTATCTTTTCTTTATTCACAGAGCCTCAGTTTAGATTTCTAGCATTTGGACATCATTCCTTGACCTTCTAAGCTATACTAGGTATTCCTTCTCTCTGCTCTGGGATCATATATGCTGATGCCTGTGGTGGCATTATCAGACTACACTGCAAATGTCAGCATCTTTATTTCTCAGGCCATCAATTTCACAAGGGAAAGGACCAGGCTCATCTTGTTTATTGCTGGATCTCCTGATCCCGTGTTTGTATCATCATAGGTATTTCTGCAGTGTTTGGCACATTCTAGGTATTCCTAAATATTTGTTGGGTTGATGGGTAAGAAAATATATCCAATAAGATTCATAAGCATTTTTCTGTATTGTTAAAAATTTTTATGAGYACTATTTTAAATGGGAACAAAGTACTTTATCATATACTATGTAATTTGAAATATATATATATATATATTTTATCTTTGTCTGGTTTCTGACACACACAGTTTCTAAATCCCTTATAAAATTTTCTGTATGATAAGGGTGAGAGGAGCATCTTTTGTTATAGTATTTGTTCTTTTACAAAGTTTCTAAAACCTTCTGGAATTTCCTAACTGGTGGAGTATCTATCATTATTCATAACAAGCCCTTTCCATTACACCTGAATTTATGCAAAAGCAGTTTTTCTGGGGCTAGTCAGACGATTAGTKGATGGGAACCCTCAAACCTACCCATCAGCCTCCAGGAAAAAGGTGGAACTGGAGATCAAACTCTATAAAAACTTCTGGACAACTTGATTTGATGAGCTTCGTAGTTGGTGAGCATATACTCCTTCTGGAAGGGCTGCACACAGAAGCTCCTGTGCTCAGGTCCTTCCTGCCCTTGCTCTATGTACCTCTTTATCTCTGTCCTTTGTAATGAAGTGGCAAAATGTGTTTCCTGTGTTATATAAGCCATCCTAGTAAATTAATCAAACCCATGGAGGAAATTGTGGGATCTCAGAGTTGTAGCCACTATTTCCAGGTAGACAGTTTCAGAATTGAATTGAATTGTGGGATGCCCAACTAGTGTCCACTGGAGAGTTCTTGGTATATGGGGAAACGCCTCTCCCATATGTCTGATCACAGAAATGCTGTGAATGTGTTGAGCAGAGAGGTCATAAATCATAGAGTCATTAAATGTGTGTGACTTTTCCTTTTGGCATATGGATAGCTCATAATTTTTTTCTTTTTTTTAATTAGTTGTTCAAAACATTACAAAGCTCTTGACATATCATATTTCATACATTTGATTCAAGTGGGTTATGAACTCCCATTTTTACCCCATATACAGATTGCAGAATCACATTGGTTACACATCCACGTTTTTACATACTGCCATACTAGTGTCTGTTGTATTCTGCTGCCTTTCCTATCCTCTACTATCCCTCCTCCCCACCCCTTCCCTCCCATCTTCTCTCTCTTCCCCATCTACTGTAATTCATTTCTCTCTCTTGTTTTTTTTCCCTTTCCCCTTACTTCCTCTTATATGTAATTTTGTATAACAATGAGGGTCTCCTTCCATTTCCATGCAATTTCCCTTCTCTCTCCCTTTCCCTCCCACCTCTCGTCCCAGTTTAATGATAATCTTCTTCTCATGCTCTTCCTCCCTGCTCTGTTCTGAGTTGCCCTCCTTATATCAAAGAAGACATTTGGCATTTGTTTTTTAGGGCTTAGCTAGCTTCACTTAGTATAATCTGCTCTAATGCCATCCATTTCCCTGCAAATGCCATGATTTTGTCATTTTTTAGTGTTGAGTAATACACCATTGTGTATAAATGCCACATTTTTTTTTTATCCATTCATTTATTGAAGGGCATCTAGGTTGGTTCCACAGTCTAGCTATTGTGAATTGTGCTGCTATGAACATCGATGTAGCTGTATTCCTATAGTGCACTCTTTTAAGGTCTTTGGGGAATAGTCCAAGAAGGGGAATAGCTGGGTCAAATGGTGGTTCCATTCCCARCTTTCCAAGGAATCTCCATACTGCTTTCCARATTGGCYRCACCAATTTGCAGTCYCACCAGCAATGTAYAAGTRTAYCCTTTTCCCCACATCCTCGCCAGCACTTGTTGTTGTTTGACTTCGTAATGGCTGCCATTCTTACTGGAGTGAGATGGTATCTTAGAGTGGTTTTAATTTGCATTTCTCTGACTGCTAGAGATGGTGAGACAGCTCATAATTTATATAACCATTAACCAATTATTTAACTTTTAGACTATCTAGTTTTTCACTGACATAACAATGTGGTGAACTGATAGCTTTGGATATAAAACTGGGCCTACACCTGTTTCTTCTCCAAAAGGTTGTGCTGGCTTAAACATTCACCAGTACTGAGTGTCTTTCTGCATAGTTTCCTTAGCTTTGATTTTTCTCATTTTTAAATACCCTTAGCAATTTGATCAGTTGAAAGTGGTACAATTCTGTTTTATTTCATCAATGGTGAGCTTGAATATTTTCTCAAGTGGTTATAAATCATTTGAGATTATTTTTTGTGAAGGCAACTAGCAATATTTCTCTAACCAGTGAATATAAAACCAGTTTGAATACTTTTTGTTAGGCATATTCATTAAATGTTTAGACTTTTTATAAGGCAGATTTCTAGTGCAATTGATTGCTCCAAAGTTTGGGTATAATACAATAATTTCAATTTGATCTTCATTAATTTTCAAAATGCTCGCAATTTTAAAAAATCACTAGGGTACTTGTCTAGTATGTGCAAGGCTCTGAGTTCAATCCCCAGTATCATGGGAAAAAAAAATTAAAGATGTGGAGTTAAAGCTTTTTTTTTTTTTTTTTTTTTTTTTGGTGCTGGGGATTGAACCCCAGGGCCTTATGTATGTGAGGCAAGCACTCTATCAGCTGAGCTATATCTCCAGCCCCTGGAGTTAGCTCTTTAAAAAAAAAAGTGTTTAGGGTATACTTTGAATATGTGGCACTGCTTAGAAATGAAAAGTGGCAATTAAAATTTATTGGGGAGGTGGGGGCTGGGGTTGTAGCTCAGCGGCAGAGCGCCTGCCTAGCACATGTGAGGCACTGAGTTCGATCCTCAGCACCATATAAAAATAAATAAAATAAAGATATTATATACATATTAAAAATGTTTTTAAGGGTTAGGGATTGTATAGAAAACTGTCACAGATGCTCAGAAGTCAGCAGTTGTTACTTAGGATGTGGGTAGACTAAACACTAGGTAGGCCTGCAGAGCTCTGCCTCCAGGACAGTGAAACCAGTCTTTCCTGATTGAACATTCTTTTTTTTTTTTTTTAATTGTGTATGGACACAATGCCTTCATTTTATTTTTATGTGATGCTGAGGATCAAACCCAGTGTCTCACATGTACTAGGCAAGCGCTCTACCACTGAGCTAGAACTCCAGCCCCTTGATTAACCATTTTTAACTCAGCTCTCTTTTAATAGCTGGGCTGATAGAAAGACAAACCTAAATTTTGAGACATGAGTTCTAGTCTCAGCTTTGGAATTAGCCTGCTCTGACTATTCAGATTACTTAATTTTTCTCTTTCTCGGTGTTTATATCATTAGAATTTATTATCCAAGGGCCAGAATATTATGAATCCATAACTTTTCTTGCGAACAGCTGGGAATGGGCCTGGAAAGCAATTCATATTTGTTGGGAACTACTTGGGGAAAATAATGGGAAAAATTCCTTTATCAGCTAGATTTTTTTAGGGAAAGTGAATGTCCAAATCCTAGATTATTTTCTAATGAACTCCCAAATCCCAGGTATTTTCTTCTGATATATTAAAACCTGGGCCACTTATAACGTGCCAGAAAACGACATGTTGAGTGCGTTAAAAGAGTGGAGGGAATTTCTTCAAATATATGGATATTTCCCAAATAAGAGATTGTCTAACTGCTTTAATCCAAAGTCACTATTAGACGCTCGACGTTTCCGGCTGTAGGAGACTGGTGGCTGCTGCTGTCCGAACTCCGCACTCCCGTGCTCTGTGTTCGATTCGCTAGGTCTGGCTCAGTGTGCCGAACTCTGCTGGCAGCTGAGAGGGGAAGCCGGGAAGAGGCAAGTTCCTGGTGCAAAGGTTGCTCTGCAGCATAATTTAGGCCTCGGAGGAGCAGTGGTGGTCACGCTCTATAAGATGGGGTTTCCGGAAGCCGCCAGGTAAGTGGCATTCTGCGTTTTGTCATTTGATCCTTCTGACTTTTCACAGKGGACCCATTCCAGGTAAAAGTCCTAATTTTATTGTTTTAGTATTCAGGGAAAAGTAATCTCATCACGTTGATTGCCTTGGCAATGGCTTTTAAACTTCAGCAGCTTTAGGGAAATTTTGATCTAAAGGAGACTGCGAAGCCAAGAGTGCTGAACAGGAGCCCCGGGCGGGCTGCCAGAGCAGGGGTTCAGGCGAATCACTTTTTGGTCTCTTTTCCCACAGGCTTTCTCTCCTGGCCGCCCAGGCTTCTGAGGTGGATAGAGGAAGCCACCCAATCAGTACATGTGGGATTGGAACTTCCCAAATGTGTGTTTTTGAGTCACCAGGCCTTCACTGCTGCTGACATCCTTTGGCCTCTTGCTGACTTTTTCCTTTCCTTCAAACACCTGCTCTCCCCAAGGCTCAGACACCTTCTGCTATCCCTCTAGGTCCCTCAACTTCCTTGTCACCTAAGAAGGGCTCTTTCTTCCAAGAGGAAAAAAGTCCCCCTTCCTTTCAAAGGCCCAGCTTTCCTCTTTGCAAGCTTTTATTTCCCACCACTTTCTGTAACTTTGTTCCAAATATCATGTATACCCTCTTTTGAATCTTTCCATCTTTCTGCTCCCCTTGGCACCTTTCCCTCTATCAGCAAACATAATCTTCCCTATTCTAAAAAATTGATTTTTCTCATTGACATAATTATTCTTTCATGATAAGCCTTTTATATAGAGGCATCTTTGCTACCGTTGTGTGTTGGAATACCTCATAGTCTAGCCTCACTTCTGATGACAGGCAAGGCTGATCTGAATGAAATCAAAGGTCCTTGTTCTTATTTTCCTTCATCATTTTCTCTAACCATACCTTAGCTTTTAGCACTTAATTCCCTTGTTTTCTCCTGAAATTTTTGGTAAATTTTCTAATTATTTATTCATACCTTTTGCTCTACAAAGGGTATGAGACACACAGAATCCCCTATATTCTTACTCTTTACATATTGTTGGATCTCTTCTCTCTATTCTTCCTCTGCCCAGAGTATCATTTCTGTTGTAAAAATTCTTTAAGACCCATTTCAAGCATCATCACCTTTTAAATATTCACAGCTCTTTGTGCCTCTTGGGTCCTATTCCAGTTTGATTTGTAATCTATCTGGTTTCATTAACTATGAAATACTTGAGGCCTAAGAGTGTGACTTCCTTCTCCTGCTCTTAGAGTCTCTCATAGTGAGTAAATGTTTATTGAATTAAATAAAAGTCACTGAATCTTAATGTTTGCTCCTAAATCTGACTCATTGTTCCTGTATTCACTTCGGAAGTCCCTATTATATTTGGAGTTGAAAAYCCTTAGTAAAAGGCAAATTAGAAAAAGCTACCATAGTCAGCTTAATTAGTATAGTTCTCTAATTTTCTTAAGAGTAGAAAGTTATGGGCTGTGACAATAGATTCTTTTTTAAATGTGGAATTCTCATAGTTTTTATGAGAAATAAGTGTTCACATAACCCAGGGATGATATTTTTGGGAAAGCAGAAACATGAAAAAAAATTCCAGATGATATACTAATGATTGAAAAGAAATYGGCTGAAGATATTACAGACATTATTTGGTAGTTTTAGTGACAGAATGTAATTTATGCTCAAAGGCAAAATTGGAAAATTCTTAATTTTGGTATTAGARATACAGTTAAAAATATGGTTATGGTTTAGTTCTTAAACAAAATAATTATAAGCTACTCACTGCACATAATCTGATTTGCATACTCATTTAGCTAACTTTGATGGAGCAAAACTGCTATGTGCTCAGGTCCCTCAAGTATCATTTTCTAAGTATATGGGGAGGGCAGAACATATTCTTTTCAAAATGCCATAAAAGCTCAGRGGAAGAGATTACTCTGAAGAAGGTAAATTTAAACTTGGATGACTAGGATTGTCCAGCAGAAGGGTAGGGGAAGGGCAGTCCAGGCCTGTACATAAGTAAACAGATTTGAAAGTTTGGCAGGTACTGCTGCATGGGTGGAGGGTAGATTATTTTGTGTGGATCTAGGTAAAGGGATAGAGTCAGTACTGTGTAGCAAACAGAAGCAGTACAACTTGCTTTTATAACACTCAGAGGAGTTTGGAATTTCTCTCATAGAATATGTGTTTTAGAAAAAGATGATGTGATTATTCAGTACAAGAGTCTGGCATTACTTTGAGTTGGATGGAAGAGAGAATAGAGGCCAGGAATGCTTGGGCAGATGGTGCAGTAGCRTGGAAAAGAAATGTTTAGTGCTGCAACAGGGGCCCTGAAAATGAAGAGGAGAGTCCCATCACCCCCCAACACTCAAGTTTGGTGAGTGTTCTACTACTAAGCTATACCCCCAGTACTTTAGTACCCCCAGTACTACTAAAGACTGAACCCAAAGCCTTTTATGGCCTAGACAAGTGTTCTACTACTGAGCTACATCTCCAGCCATTTTTATATTTTATTTTTGAGAATAGTCTTGCTAATTTGCTCAGGCTRTGCTCAAACAGGGGATCTTTCCATCTTAGCCCCCCAGTAGCAGGATTACAGGTGTGTGCCACCTCACTTAACTGAGGCCATATTTAAGAGTGATGACAACTGCATTTGATTTGCAATTAAATTTTTAAAAATTAGATCAGTTTTAAATATGATTGGCTTTTGTGTTACATAACACAAAATTCTTTTTATCTAARTAGGGAACTTTTATGATATCTAAGTAGGGAACTTTTATGATACAGACTTAAGTTTGCATTCTGTACTAGGTTAAATAGAACCTAATTCATTCTAATAGGTTAAATGAAACCTATTTCTAAAACTCAACTTTGTTATGTGTTTCTTTTTTTAAATTTACTTACAGTAAAATTTACCATTTCATCATGTTTCTGCAAGTTTTGACATGCATATGCTGCATAGTCATAACTACCACCATAATCAAGATATAGAACAGTTCCATCACTATCCCCCGCCCCCCCCAAATTCCTGTGCACCTCTCTAGCCAGCCTTCCCCACTACCATCTCCCTCCTGGAAACCACTGGTCTGTTTTCTGCTCCTGTCATCTTCCCTAGTTAAATACCATCTGTATGTGATATCTTTTTAGATTTTTTTTTAATAGACTGGAGGCAGATTTTTTTTTTTAAATAGGCAATATTGATCAGTGGAAAGAGCATATTATTGACTTTCAGTCACACTGCCTGTGTTGGGCATTTCCTCATTTAGAAAATACTGAAGGTATCTATTTTATGGAAACAGAAAACAACTGCCACACATTGTAGTTGTTTTTTCATTTTCCAGTGCTTTTTCCTTTCTTCTTATGTCTCTAGTTCATATCACTGATTAAATGACCAAAAGTGGTTTTAGTAATTAAATTACAGCTATCATCCAGGGACTTGAAGAAAATGAACTTGAATTTTTTGTACAGAAAGGGAAATATACTCAACTTGTTGAAAATAGTGGTTTGGATGAGGAGCACCTCCCACTTATCCTGAAGGGTTTCTTTTTGTCTTCACAGGCTGTATTTCAGTTGTGATGGAACCATTTGCCTTCTCTGAGGTCAAGGGGAGTTGCTGATTGAGAATGAACTTTACTTTGTAGTCCTTAGGCACATTGTAAAACCATCACTAATTAAAACAAACTGATTAGGGTTAACTGTAGATTTTGCAATTGAAATTKAAAATATAGGATTTTTTAATTCTTCTCATGCACTAAGAATAACAGCAACCACTTTTTAAAAATTAAACAACTATTAAGACACAATCCACATGCCACAAAATCATCTATTCTAAGTGTACATTCAGCAATTTAGAGAATAGACAGAATTGTGCACTCAGTGCCATGATCAATTTTAGAAAATTTTCATCACCCCCAAAGAAACTGCATACCCATTATCCATCATTCCCTAGTCCCTTCCTTCTTGCAGTCTCTGGAAACCACTCCTCTACCTTCTGTCTCTGTGGATTTGTCTACCCTGGAAATTTCATATAAATAAGGCAATTTTTGGTCTTTCATTATTGTCTTCTTTCGTTTAATATGATGTTTTTCAAGGTTCATGTATTAGTGCTTTATTCCTTTTTAAGGCCAAATAATATCCTATTTGTATGAGGAGTTCCATTTTTCTACATCCTTTCTCTACCTGTCCTACTCTGTGTGAAGTTGTTTCTTATTGTGATATTGATTTGCATTTCCTAAATAGCTAATGATATTAAGTATCTTTTCATGTGCTTATTAACCATTTGTATATCATCTTTGGAGAAATGGCCCTTTGTAATTTGGGTTGTTTTTAAGTCTTTTTATTGTTGAGTTGATAAAAGTTTTGTTTTGTTTTTACTGGGGAACAAACTGGGGTTCTCTACCACTGAGCTACATTTTAGCACTTTTTTAGTTTTACTTTTGAGACAGGGTCTTGCTCAGTTGCCCAGTTTGGCCTGAACTTTGCAATCCTCTCACCTCAGCCTCCTGAGTAGCTGGAATTATGGGTGTGAACACTGGTCCTGGAGTGAGAGTTCTTAAACAATTCCTTTTTGAGGGTCTGGTATGTGCCAGGCCATACATGCTAGATGTTTCACATTCAGTCTTACTTTTTTCCCTCAGTTTTGGGGACCAAACCCAGGGACTGTATACAAGCTTGGTGGGTGTTCTACCACTAAGCTATACCCCCAGCTGTACATCTTTGTTTAATCCTCATAAAACTCCTTCGTGGTCAGTATTATATACCTGTTTGTAGGTGAGATTGATGTGTTTAGTGTTGCAACAGGGGCCCTGAAAATGAAGAGGAGTCTATCTAAAGAAAGCCTCAAGTGGTAGGAATCAAGGTTCTAACCATCATCTGTCTCAGGGCAGGGTACGTGTTTTGTAGACTATTGGGTTCCCAGTCTTTGACATTGTTTAAATGAAGCCTGTATAGGTCTTACAATGAAATTTTTCAGCAATCTAGATATTCACCAACTAGGATAGTCTGCTGGTTTCTCTTCAGGGTCCT